TCCAATATCAAAACAGCTACGGTAAAAATAAAAAGACGTGCATCATCCCGGACATAATGCAACACCACATGCGAAATTACACAGAAATGCGACGTACGGAAGAATGCGTTTTGGCTGCGAACATCTTCCAAAAAACTTGGCATCTCTTAACCATGGGCAAAAACATCTGGAACCACTTATAAAAACCACCCCGTATCTGCATGAACTTTTACCCCCCCCACTGCTATTCCAAACAACGCGTTTTTCTGGACCATTCCAATTCGCCTCGTAATTGTAGGGGTGCGTCTGCGATATTACATTGACCGCGAAAGCAGCAACGGCAAAAATACACATTCGTGCATCAACACGGGCATGCCCGCAGACGGCGTATAAAATTGCGTGCCGATTACACAAAGACAACCCAGTGTTTTGACTGCGAACATGAAAAATCAGCCGATTACAACACTCCGTCCGGAGGTCCTGACCTCCTTCACGGAGTAATAAAAACAGGCCTAGGCATCCTATTATGGCCCAAAATGGTACGATAGGAGCCATGAAGTCAACACACCAGACTGGTTCAAAATTTAAACAATGAATTTTGAGCTTTTAATGATACCACTGCATTGAAAGATGGAATAACTGTAACAACTAGGATGAAAAGGACTGTTTTCAACTGTTCAGGGCAAAATATGATCATTTTGCAGTTGATTCTGAATTTTTATTTTTATTTGCAAATCAGAAAAAAATGAAGCGGGCGAATCCGTTAACCAAGAAATTAAATTGGTGTGGCCTTATTGGCTGAAATGGGTACACAACAAGCAGATTGGTCAGCCCCAGCACCTACCGACAAGGCGAAGTCGAGCACTCTCTGTATGAGCTGTGGTTGGCTGACGGAGCCTAGCGACCAGAGAATGCGGACATGGAAACTCCAAAACTGTCCCTAATTTGCTTATAATTACATGTAGTACTGGTTTTAACAAGGAAGATGCCTGATACAATAGTTAGGCAAAACACATTGGTGGCAACTGCAGCTCTTCACTGGATACTACCACGTGATTGGCTGAATTGGGGGCACAACAAGCATCCTGATTGGTCAGCCCCAGCACCTACCGACAAGGCGAAGTCGAGCACTCTCTGGATGAGCTGTGGTTGGCTGACGGAGCCGAGCGACCGGAGAATGCGGACCTTCTCCTCGTGCAGGTCCGCCTTCCGCAGCAGGTCCAGCAGCTGCTCGTACGTCTGCTCATCGCCATGGCGAAGCACCGTCGCATACACCTGATTGGACAACGGCAGTTGTCATGGCAACACTCAATGGTGCTGAATATTGTAAGGTTAAGTAAAATAACACTTGCCATTTTCTGAACTTTAAAACCCTATAGATTAAGTCAGTGAATCAGTGAATTTTAAAAGTTACAGTTGAAAATTTACGACTGAAAGCACTACATTTTATGTTGTGATTGACAGATAGAACTAGTTACAGCAAAATTTAGGGGACATAATATTGATTGCATT